TCTTGCGTTCAATAACTGGAAACTTTATTTGTTCTATCTAAAGTTGTTACGATTTTAAGCACCTTCATTAAATCTCCTGTAGCCAAGCTGCTCATAGGGGAGAACAAGTTGGCTTCTCTCTCCTACTCGCGTAAAATAACCCTGCAACTTCTGCAGCATTCTAATTAATCATTTCTATAGCCTCCCCAAAGGAGCAATTAAAACAAAACAAAGAACTGCAGATGTTGGAGATCTGAAACAAACAAACAGAAATGCAAGAGAAACTAAACAGGTCTGGCAGCATCTATTAACTCATTAATATTCATGTTCTGACAAGTAACATGCTGGCAGATGTTATATATCCATAAGATGTAAGAGCAGAATTAGGCCATTCAGCCCATGGAGTCTGCTCCACCATTCAATCATGGCTGATATGTTTCTCAAACCCATTCTCCTGCCTTCTCCCTGTAACCCTCTTGATGCCTTTACTAATCAAGAACTTATCTATCTCTGTCTTAAATACACTCATTCACTTGGCCTCCATGGCCCTCTATGACAATGAGTTCCACAGATTAATCACCCTCTGGCTGAAGAAATTTCTCCTCATCTCATTTCTAAAAGGTCGTCCCTGCATTCTGAGGCTGTGCCCTCAGGTCCTGGTATCTCCTACTGGTGGAAACATCTTCACCATGTCCACTCTATCCAGGCCTGTCAGTATTCCATACTGAGATTCCTCCTCATCCTTCTAAACTCCTTCAAGTACAGACCCCAGAGACTTCATCTGCTCCTCTTATCATAAACCTTTCATCCCTGGGATCATTCTGTAAACCTCCTGTTGACCCCCTTCAACACCAGCATGTCCTTCCTTAGATACAGGGCCCAAAACTGCTCACAATATTTCAAATGTAGACGGAATAGAGCCTTTGCAGCCTCAGCAGTACATTACTACTCTTTTGTTCTTGCCCTCTCAAAATGGATGCCAACATTGCATTTGCCTCCCTAACTGCCAACCGAACGTACATGTTAACCTTCAGAGAATCCTGAATTAAGATTCCTAAGTCTTTGTGCTTAGATTTCTGAAGCCTGTCCCCATTTAGAAAATGGTCTACACCTTTCATTCTTCCTACTAGAGTGAATAATCTCACACTTTCTCACATTTGTATTCTATCTGTCCCTTGTTGCCCACGGTCCTAGTCCTACCAAGTCCTTCTGCAGCCTCCCCACCTCCTCAACACTACCTGTCCTTCCACCTATCTTTGTATCATCTGCAAACTTTTCAGTTCCATGTCCAGATCATTAAGGTATAATATCAATAATTATGATCCCAATACTGACCCCTGCAGAACTCCATTAGTTACCAGTTGCCATCCTGTAAGGACCCTTTTATCCCCCCCCATCTTCTGCCAGCCAGCCAATCCTCTATCCATGCCAGTACTTTGCCCCTGACACTTATTTAGGCACTTATTTAGCAGCCTCCTTTGCAGAACCTTGTCAAAGGCCTTCTGGAAATCCAAATCGATCACATCCACTGGCTCTCCTTTGTCTAACTTGCTTGTTACCTACTCATAACAAATTTGTGAGGCATGACTTCCGTTGAAGCCATGCTTATTCAGCCCTGTTTTGCCATTCGCCTCCAAGTAGTTTGTTATCTCATCCTTAATAATGGACTTTAAAATCTTACCAACAGCCAAGGTTTGGCTAACCAGCCTATAGCATCCCATCTTCTGCCTCTCTCCCAGAGAGCTGGAATATAGCTAATGTAAATCCCCTGTTAAAGAAGGGACTCTTCCTGACTCCAGTAATCCCTGAAAGATCACCATTAATGCCTCTGCATTCTCCTCAGCTTTCTCCTTCAGAACTCTGGTCCAGGTGATTTATCCATTCTCAGACCCTTCAGCTTCCCCAGCACCACCTTGGTGATGGCCACTTCACTCACCTCTGTCCCCTGACTCTCTCAAAGTTCTGGTATGCTTCTGATGTCTTCCATCTTGAAGAATGATACAAAGTACCCATTCAAGTTTCTGCCATTTCTTTGTTCCCCAATGCTACTTCTCCAGCCTCATTTTTAAGTGGCTCATTGTACATCCTTGCCTCTTCCTTACCTTTTATATGTCTAAAATAAAATGCTTCCAATCTTCTTTTATATTACCAGCTAGCTTGCCCTCCTCTTACATCATCTTCCAATGTCCTCTGAATTTGAACTTGTTTCTCCCACGCCAATCTTTTGAGCTACGCGTTTACCTTTTTAATCTTGTTGACCCTGTGCCAATTATCTCATGGCTCAGTTAGTAATCCGAAGATTGTTATCTTTTTGGTTCTGCCTTTTAATATAGTCCCTACCTGCTGATATCCCTCTGGAGAACCTGTTTCTTCCTTCTACTTATATTGTTGGTACCCACAAGGCGGCATGGTGACTCAGTGGTTAGCACTGCTGCCTCTCAGCGCCAGGGACCTGGGTTCGATTCCACCCTCAGGCGACTCTCTGTAGAGTTTGCACATTCTCCCCGTGTCTGTGTGGGTTTCCTCCGGGTGCTCCAGTTTCCTCCCACAGTCCAAAGATGTGCAGGCTAGGTGGATTGGCCATGTTAAATTGCCTGTAGTGTTCAGGGATATGTAGCTTAGGTGGGGTGAGTCTGGATGGGATGCTTTGTGGTTCGGTGTGGACTTGTTGGGTCGAGGGGCCTGTTTCCACACTATTGGGATTCTATTCTATTCTATTCGACGTGGGTCATGACAACTGGATTATTCCCCTTCTAGTCCAAGCTTCTCTGCAGCCAGATGAAATATCCTGAACTCAGGCACCAGGAGGGCAACACAGTCGTCAGAACTCCTGATCTCAGCCACAGAAAACAGCGGCTATTTCCCTGACAATACTAAACCCGATTACAACACATTGTCTCCCTCCTGTTGAATGGCTCCCATCATACTATGTTCTGTTTACTTATCCTCCCTCCAGCTCCCACTCTTGTACACAGGAATCTAGAATCTCAAAGCTGTTAGATAAGCTCATGGGCGGCATCTTCTCCAGCACTACCTCCTGGAACCCTCGACATGCCTTGCTAGTCATCACACCACCCCATCTCTGACCACTGATCGTATTTGAGTCAGTTTTTTTTCTTTATTCATTAATGAGATGAGGGCATTGCTGGCTAGGCAACATTTATTACCAATCCCTAATTGCCCAGAGGGCAGTTCAGAGTCAACCACATTACTGTGGGTTTGGAGTCACATGTAGGCCAGACCAGGCAAGGATGACAGTTTCCTAAATGACATTAGTGAACCAGATGGGTTTGTCCAACAATCAACAATAGACTCATGGTCATCTTTAGATTCTTAATTCCAGATATTTTTATTGAATTCAAATTCCACCATCTGCCATGGCAGGGTTCAAGCCCGCATTCCCAGAATGTTATCTGGATCTCTGGACTAACAGTCCAGTGACAATACTACTAGGCCATTGCCTCACCTGATTAAAAGCCACTGACTCTCAAGTTTGTCTTCTCTGAGGATTGAACTCATGTCCTTCAGATTATGAGACTGACACGCTGCTTACTGCGCTAAGAAGGCATCAGCATTAGTCAATCTGGTATTAGTTAATTTAAGGGATGTGACTGCTTTCTGAAACCAAGCATCCAGGTAGTTCTCCCCCTCCTGGATGTGTCAGTGTTGAAAGCTCATCAACTCTGAGTTGGAGTTCCTTCAAGCAACCAACACTTGCTTCAGATGTGGTCACTATTAACCACAATGGGGTCCACAAGCACCCACATCATGCAGGTTCAACACATTGCCTGGCCCTGCATCTCTTTTATTTACTAGGTTCTTAAGTTGATTTTTAAAAATTCCTACTGGTTTTTCAGTTTTTAACCTGTAAATATTTCCCCTATTTACCTTCAGTCTGAAAGTAACCTATAATATATTGCAAATTAATAGCTATTACCAACTAGTGAACTGGTTCAAAGAGTTGCGAATCTTTTGAGTTGTCTTCCTGGGAGGATGTAGGTGCTCCATCAATCATTGTGTTTAAGGCTGAGCTGGGCAGATCTTCGCTGTCTCCGGAAGTTATCTGAACTGAGGCAGAACATCAGCCATGATAATGAGTGGTGGAGCAGATTCAAGGGAATGCATGTGATCTATTTCTGGTCCTAATTCATATATTCTGTCTGTGTGTTGAGTTTGAATGAGTATTGATTACTTAATATAGGTGTGGTCTTCCTGTTTTGAAAATTTGCTAAATCCACATAACAAGCTCCTTGGTAACTCAGTTGTTCTCTTCCTGACTTGACATAACTTGTTTTTTTTTGCCTGTTATACTTATTAAGAGTATAGGAATGTATGGGAAAATACTGACAGTGACAGATTGTGAAACTGCTGAATACAATGGACAAAGAGGAGCACTGATAACCATAAGGAGGTTACAAGTTGGTGTTCAAGATAATGATCAAGGATATGCTTGGATAGTCTAAAAGTGGAAATGTGTTTTCGTTAGTGATTGAATATTGTAAGAGTATAGATGCAGTAATTGGTTGAAGTCAATAATGAGACGAATGAAGTAACCAGAACCACTAATTGTAATTGGATATCAATAACCTAAAACAAGTGTAAACTTTTATTGGTATATGTAAACTACTCTTAAGATAGCACAAAGGTATGAAAACTGATGTAATGTATTGTTCAGAGAGGTTGTTTGCCACCTAGTGGAAATAGCTCCTTGCATATGCTTAAATAAAAGCTGGTGTAAAGAAATGCCCAAGTGGCGTCTGGTCAGTTATGGGAACCCAGGCAATTGGTTGACCGAAAGTTTGTATAACATAGGATAATATAAGGTTAACTCCAGAAACATAGGACTCGGGAAAATCCCTGGAAGGTTTGACAGATGATGCAGGTTCCCTCGAAAGTCAGTATGTTACTTTTTGGCCTTTGAGGGCTAACTGCTAGGAATGATTGAAGGTAACTTTCAATTGTTGAATAACGTCTTTAAAGTAGGAGCATATTTATTACATACACTTTTCTCTTTTGTACAGGCAATTTCCAGCTGCTCTGGAAGATTTGCACGAAGCTGTGAAACTTTGCCCAAATAACCGTGAAATACAACGTTTGTTGATACGAATAGAAGAAGAATTCAGACAAATGCAGTATGGTCAGCAAATGCAGTATGCCCAACAACAACAACAGCAACAGACTCAACGAGAAGATGTAGACTCTATACATGAATTATATGATGAAGAATATTTGGAGCAGGAGTTGGACAATGTCTCTGTTGGCCTACAGACAGAAGCGAGATCTAGCCAAGGACTGCCAGTCATCCAGAGTCCACCTTCTTCCCCAGCACACCGTGAGCCCAGCTACAGATCCAGCTCGCCTCTCAACTCCCACCAGGTTTTTGACTACAGACCAGCCACTTCGGTCTCCTCCCCGACTCGGCAGGGCTACCAGTCCACGTCACCATCGCTTTCGCCTACTCACCAGAATTCTCATTATCGGCCTAGCCCTCCGCCTACCTCCCCTGCTCATCAGGGGTCTTCGTATCGTTTTAGCCCACCCCCAGTGGGTGGACAAAGCAAAGAATATCAGTCTAGTCCCCCTCCTTCACCATTGCGTAGAGCCCCACAGTACAGATCCAGTCCTCCTGCTGATAGTATGAGTATATATAGGCCTCAGTCTGGCTCACCAGTTCGGTATCAACAAGAACCTACCATAGGTCAGCTTCCTGGTAGGCCAAAGTCTCCTTTATCCAAAATGGCCCAAAGACCCTATCAGTTATCTCAGCCACCAGCAGGTTTACCCCAACAAGGGCTTAGATTACAGCCAGCCAAGGCCCAAATTGTACGCACTAATCAGCCGAGCTCTGCAGTACATTCAAGTGCTGTTATACTTGGCGGGTCCTATAATCAGGGGCCCCATTCCATGAGCACTAAACTTCAATCGTCTTCAGTTGATATGGCTCCTACTCAAAGTCGCTTGGTTTACCAGCCTGTAATGGGTGGAGTGGTGGCTGACAGTAGACCTGTCCAGCATGTACAAGCCAGTCTAAGTGCCGGTGCAATAAGCAATGTTTGCCAGCATCCAGGAGCTGTAATGACTAAAGAGGATCACAACCAAAGACCCTCTTCTGCCTTCCGAGGAGGGATGAGGTATGGCCAAACCCCTCAAATTGGTCGCAGTCAGTCTGCTTCATATTATCCTGTTTCCCACTCCAAGCATGAATTAGAAAGGTCTTCTGTACCGTCCAGCCAGATTGCATCTCCAGATGTATCTCACATGATCAGGAGGGCACTCACAGTGAATCCTCCTGAAATTAAACCTCACCCACCAACACCTCGACCATTGCTCCATTCTCAAAGCACTGGCCTTCGTTTCTCCCCCTCCAACAGCAGCCTTTCTTCTAGCTCCAATATTGTGTCTTCATTCCGTCCTTCTGCATCCATCCAACAGATGGAGATTCCACTCAAGCCCTCTTATGAGAGCCGATCTTGTGAAGAACAGTCCCCCATCTCTCCCACACAGGGTTACCCTGGAGATTCTGGTCGTTCCAGGACCACGCCTTTCATGGGGATAATAGATAAAACAGCACGGACACAGCAATACACTCACATGCACCAGCAGAGCCGGACGTGGGCTGTGTCATCTGTTGACACTGTCATCACCAGCCCCACCTCCTCTGGAGGAATGTCCCCCCAGTCTGGTTCCTATAGTCCACCCCCAGTTAGTAATATTGCTTTCTTCAATAAGACTAACAACGCCCAAAATGGCCATCTGATAGACGACGATTTATGTGTCTCCCATGGGAAGCTGACCAATGGATCCCGGGCAGAGATTTTGGAGAGGGTTAGTCAGGCTCCCTCATACCCAGATGTGAAGGTGGCTAGAACGTTGCCTGTTGCCCAAGCATACCAGGACAGCATATATCGGCAGCTCTCCAGAGACTCGCGACCAGGGCCAACGTCACCTTTAAAACCAAAGAGACCATTCGTAGAATCAAATGTATAAAGGGAATTCTCTAGATTCTAAATCCCATGTTGTGAGCAGGTTTGCAATTAAACTCCTTGCACATGTAGCCACACAGTGCACTGTACAATGAAGCTGCTTCCACTTACATATGAAATAAGCCAGAAAAGAAACCAATAGTGGGTTCAGTTCCATTCCGTTGCTTAATTATGAGTAGTTTCTAACTTTTCTAACTATTGTACAAAAGTTTAAATGTCAGGAACGAAAAAGGTGATATGAATATCAAAGTATGAATGCTCAAGTGATGAATGTTTAGCCTAATGCATCAGATCAGTTTGTTTTTATTTTACATAGGAAGGTTAACATATTATGAGTAATTTTATTTAGGCTTTTTAAAGAAGTCTGACACAAGTTACAATAAGGTGCAGATAATGACATTTATTTTCAAAGATACTGCTGTGTTTGTACAGCTTGTAATCAGTTTACTATGATTTATATGTAATGCGTGTATTACACTGAACTGTTGGTACGTTTCCAGAACCTCAGACACCAATCTGCATTTTATCTTGAAATCAGTTCTCTGCACTAGCATGGGATCAGGACTAATTTACCTTCAACGATACACAGTGAGTGTTTGCTTCAGCTGCGAGGTTATTCTGTTTAATACTGTAAATGTTGTATGAAGTTTTGCTCTCTACCAATCTGTAGTTGTTAATATTTAAGAGTATTTTAAGTTAAGTCAACTTACATCAGGTAATTTTTTAAAAAAAACTTTATTTTAAACCAGGTGCAACTATTGTTAAATTTATGAATAGAAGGGGACATTCCCAAAGCAAAGAATATGGGAGCTAATTTTCCACTGGCATTCTCCCACTCCTTTGGCTTTTCTTTAACAGAAGAGCCACAGAAACTCTGGAGAAAGGGCAATGACACCTTTTTTTTTCTGGGTTTTTCGGTGCTATCTCACCACGAGTGGGGGAATGTTACCAGGCTACTTTCCATTTTTATTGGCTGGCTTCTCCATCTCTTGCATTAACTGCAGTGTTCTGTCACATCTCTCTTGAAAAGAAAACCAGGCACTCGTACAGAAATTTCTTTATAATTTTAATGTCAACACTGGAACACTTTCACAATTCACACCTCACTTCTGCCATTCAGCAACTGGAAGCATAATTGCCTTAACATTTCTAATATAAAATAACTGTTTTTAAAAGTTGCAACAAACACTTTTGAGAAATGTTCTGTAGACCTTGGCAATTTGTATTCCTAATATAGTGAAATTTTGTTAGCAAATGATTTGATGAGTTGAAATGTGCCATCCTGATAAGAAGAAACACCATGCCTGTTAAACATGACTGTCATATTGGTAACCTGTGTTATTTTAAAATATATTTAGCAGTAATTCTTAGTCAGATTTGATTGCCCTGATCAAAAAGCTCCCCATTCACTTCTGAATCTTTCTTCTCCTCTATTTGTTTCAGAAATTCCACTTTCTTTGTACAATTTAGGGTCCCAAACTAGAAATTTCACTATCTGGTTAGAACAGAACAAAACTAGTCCTGTTTGGTCCATTGTTCTTTAAATCTGGAAATACCATAGATGTTTAATAGTGTATTAAACTGGGTCAATTTTTTCCAATTAACATCCCTGAATTTGTTTCTGATTTTATTTTGCATGATTATTTTTTCAGTTACCTCCTTACCCCTTCCTCTTGTTTCTGTATTGTTCAGAGTGTGGAGCTCTTGATATCCTGATTTGAAAACTGAACCACAGTTACTGTGGAATGAAGTTCATTCCTTTCTTGCTTCTCCAGGTCTTCCCAATGTGAAATGTTTCACTCTGCTTGCCACAACTTCACTCTACCTAATGAACATCAGGAATTCACTCTATCAACACTGTTCCACGATGCACCATTTTCTCTCCCTTTATTACTCATACTTTTGAACACTCATTTTTATCACTCATACCTTTTATTCACTGCCTTCCATTTCTCAGTTTCCTTTTCTGATCACATGAATTGGTCAGTTGCTGACTTCATTTGTGATGTTGTGTCTCAGTTGTGTCTACTTCACTGTCATGTAATTCTATTCATATTTGGAAATGTCCCCTAAATGCAGTTCAGCTTAACAAAGTTATATGAGGTCATTTTAGCATTTGCACAAGGATAGGCAAAAAAACCCACGATGTGCAGTTCCTTAAGTACAGCAGCACATTATTTCACAGAATTCTTACACTGAAAGTTTGTCATCCGCATTTCCTGTATATGAGTGCACTTTATCGTTAACCTTTATATAGTGGAATGATAATCGTGACTAGTGTTCTCAGTAGGAGATAAACAGTTGTAACTCTTAGTGTATTTCACAGAAAAAGAAGAAGCAAAATACTAAATTTTTAGCACAAATGATTTGCTGTAAATAAATGTCACAGTGTCGGGCATTAATCCAGTATCCCTCAAATGCTCTTCCTTGGAAACTTCAACAGTGCACAACTTAACTCTCACTTTCACCATGTATATGTTGTGTGTAAAATTGAAATGGTACATGCTATCTAAATACATACAAAAATCAGTCTTCTGCCATATGCCTATAATATTTTTATAATGTAGAATCCAGTAGTTGAAACCTACCATTCTATTGATAAAAGATGGCATGTAAAGTATGCTGATTACACACTATCTTGTTTATGAATCTAGATTAGAACAGCACAGCTAAATATTAAGGACGAGTATTTGGATTTGCTGTCTGCAGCTTCCATTGAACTCTAGATAGAAGAAACTTGATTTGCAAGGGTTAGTGAGGAGAAACAGGAAGAGAAGAGCCTCCCAAAGCTGCCAGGAAGATAGATGCTACAGATGGACAGACTCCATGAGCCACACGGAGTCTAGCATAAGCATCTACATATGCAGTTCCACATGAAGTGTTGAAGTAATTGATAATTACCAGCACCAGAGGCCAGAAATCCTTTTGCAAAATTACCATTGTAGAGTGTACCAATGCAGAAGGAGCAACATAGAAAACAGTTGTATTGTTTATCTTGACTCTATGTGACAAAATGCATAATTAACCGCACGGTTTGGTTTATATCCTGAATTAATCTTGACCATGCCACAGTTCAACAAATTAAAACCTAATGTGGAGTTAAGTTGTGTTGATTGAATGTTTCCTCCAGCCTGCAGCTTTGAAAGTGCCAGGAACTTGCTAACTCACCCAATATCACTGCAACTCCCTACACTCGATGTCAATATCTAGCTAACTCTACGCAGACCAGTTAAAAACTACATACTTTTGTTATGAAGGCACACATTTACACGTGTTACTGAGTCTTGCAGTTCGTGCTGAAGAAATAGTTGTTACTTTTGGTAGTCCAACTTGTGGCCAGTGTGAATAATGCACTCCTAATGCCAATGGAGCAATGGGAATTGCCCCTCAACTGAAGGACCATTTTATAAGTGTGTTAAATTTACTTTCTGGCGTATTTACAGAACACTAAATTGCTGCTATATATGGCTATAATTTACTCATAAATTTAATTTATGACGCTTGGCATTAAAGTTACTTACAGCTCCTGATATAAAGAGAAACTGTCACCCTCAGCAACAAACATCCTTCTAATTACTCCAATGATGTTCTGAAGCTCCCTCTTTAACTGAAACAAATTGAGGCATTAATACTTTAACCTTTGTTTATAAAATGCAAGTGCACACAAAGTAAATTCAGTGTACTTACCACGCAGTTATTGGTTTTTAAACAAAATAGAAACCTAATCCATATGAAAGCGCAGCAACCTTTATCCTAGCACAAGAAAAAGGGGTCGGGGTCCATCAGGGGGAGGGAGTTGTAAAATCAAGTCTATATAGACCAACAATATGTCTTAAAATATATCAATAAATCACCGTGGAGAAACTGGTTAAACCTTGTAATATGCAGTGTTGGAAAGCTACTTCAGGAATTTACTGTTTCAAAAGTGCCATGATTTGAAATGTAATTTAGTAAATACATATCTGCAGATATCTTACTGATCATCAGTTGCTTCCCTCTCTTTCTATCTCATCATTGCACAGTTCAGTATTTGATATTTGGACTGGCTTATTTTCCCACGTTCATCGTAGAGTTTAGGGAGGAAATTAAAATATTGGGGCAAGGTGCAATACATAGTCCATGGATATCAATTATTAGACCTTTATCAGAATTATCATGAGCTCTATGAAGTTTCAGAATGTTGTTTATTGAAATGTACATGTACACCTTCATTCTAATTTTGAATATAGTTAGGTATACTTGCAGTTAAGATTATCAAACTTTTAATGGTGATTAACACTCCAGGTAGATAGCACACTTCAGATCTAAAACAGCCTGGTCTTTTCATCTATTTGGATTCAATCAAAACAGAAACAACGTATAGTATAAATTAATTTCCTTCTTACTGAGGAGTGCAATTTTTTTTTAAGTAAATAGATACAGAAACAGCTGCGGCAGGGATGCATGTAGGTACTTTTTTCTCCCCTTGAAAATGATTGAACAGAATACTAAACATTTGAATGTAATTACAGAAAATTAAATTGTACCATGTCATTTCTGTGTGGATTCATGGATTCTTTTATTTTCTCTGTACTGTTAATAATGCTCCAAGAAGGCATCTGTACACAGTGAGACACCAGCTGGGAAACTGTATAAAAGTCTTTGGTTTTCTGTTGTGTCTCTGTCTTTCGACTCATCCCTCTCTCTCTCTTTCTCTCTCTCTCTCTCCCCCTAACTTTTGATGTAAAGAATTTTTCTCTGTATATTATAAACTGCATGTTTTGTTCCAGTACTGATTAATAATTACAGAAGGTTGTGATATTGTATCCAGGTCGCTCTGGGCTGCGGCCCCTTCCATATTTTGGATAGAGATTTCTCTTTGCTGTATTGCTTGCTGAGCAGAGTAATATTGTCTGTACATGTGGGCTGTGAGTTAGTGCAAAACAAAACAAAAAAATAAACGAATGCTTCTGTTTTTATTTTTGATTTACAGATTGTGATCTGTACAATTTACTGTATGAAAATACTGTACCTATTTATAAATGGTTAACACTTCAAATTAAATGAAACACAACTGCCTAACTTTCATTAATGGTAATTTTTGAAATTTATGTAATGAAGTTTAAATTCTCTGTAATCCTGTCAGACATGAAAGATACGTTGAAATGCAGAACAAATATTACACAATCTTCAAGATGAACATAAACAATTGCTAGCAACTGCTATGCAAAATCCTGAGGACTGCTATTCTTACTACGACAGGCTCACTGTCCACAGGGCAATCCTTCTTAGGATCGTTCCACTCTCATGTGATCATCTTAGAACCTTGTCTTATAACAAACTGATGCTTAGAGCAGGATTCTGTGTCATTTACCAAGCAAAAATACCTCTGGAAAGCTTTTTTTTTCCCAATTTGGAATTCTGACATTGGCATCTGAGCACTGTTGAAGGTATTACTGTATTTATCTTATTTTTGTTAATGTGTTTCAGTGTAACAGGAGGTTTCAATTAACAGTTGAGCCTTGCTAGTTTTCCCTGAAGATGGAATGTTACATAACCACTGTACATTGAATGCAACTCATTGGGATTAGGTCTACTCCTCAAATAAGTAGAACATGTGCACTCCGGGTTAAAAGGACTTGGCATAGCAGGGCCACTAACTATAGTTAGCCAATCCATTAGCAGCACGTTGATCAGGATGAGTTGTATATCATATGTTCCATTTCTATATCATGGAATAACCAACATACATTTTTGCAACTTGGCATTTTTTCTAGCTTTTATATTCAATCAGCAAACCACATGCTGCTGGAGGGTTGCTTTTAATCTTTCCATGTAATCTAAACCTCTAGCCACAAAATATGCTGATTTAACCTCCACACTGCCATTTTCAAAATGAATATCACAACTGACATGGTGCCTTGAACTGATTAATTTATGCTGTTTTTGTCTGCTTTTACCTAAATTTATCAAAGCTCTTGGTGGTTGCAGAGTTGTTTAAAGGTGGTAAAGTTGACAGGAGGTGGATCTGCACATTGAGAAAACCTAGTTGGTTTTTGCTTTGAGGGTTCAGGTCACACTAATTCATTTAGTCACAGGTAAGAGTCATAAAGATTTACAGCCATAGAACAAGGCCCTTCGACCCTTTGACACTGTGGCTGTCAAAAACAATAGCCTAACAATTCTGTAGCCAAATCCTTGACTGATATGAGAGGAAGCAGAAGCAGGGCAAAAAGAAAAGTTCACTGAGGGAAGAGGAGGACTTTCCACACTAATATTGTTCACCCAGTGTGTTTCAGGCATATTGCTGTTACTGTTGTATATGCTGTCAGCAGTTTGTTCATCAATGCTGCTTTGCAAAGGAGGTGCTCATGGAAACTGCCGCATCTTGCAGCCAACTTCAGTACAAACACATTTTTTGCTGATTTGGTTATTTGGTAACTGGTCCTGAATTTCTCTGCATTAGGAGGTGGCAGAATCTGTAACATCTTCCAGTCATTGTCCACCATAAGAGATAAAACATACCTGATGTTCCTTATGCCAGGAAAGGTAAGTTCACTGTCATCTCTCTGACCAAAGAAGCAAGTAGACTGTGTACGTGAACGTGTAGTATGGCAGACTTCCTCCATTGTGCACAGTGCCAGTGACTGCAAATACATGGCTTTTTGGGTGCCATTTTTAATTGCCTCTGTATACTGAAACAAAAATTTTGACTGTGTAGTTGGTGTGCAACATGTTTAGTACATGATAAAGGTGAATGCTTGCTATCTTGATCAGTGTAATGGTATGTATATTCCATGCGGGTTCACTTTTCCTTGAGTGTTTGAGTCACCGTGTAAACTAGTATGTGGCTGCTGGCTGACAACTCTACTCTGCAACCTACAGAGCAGAAACAAAAATAGAAATTGCTGGAGAAACTCGGGTCTGTAGAGAAAAAGCAGAGTTAATGTTTCCGGTCTAGTGACCCTTCTTCACAGCCGACAGTGGCTATGAAAAGGTGATAATATTTGCTGAAGGCAGGAGGTGAGAGTTCGAGTGGGTGGAAAGGAATGATTGGATAGGCAGAGATAGAGCCAGAGAGATTGAACAATATTTAGGGAGACCAGGGGATGGATGATAGTATGCTAGGGAGAAAGAAAAACTGGTAATGGGCACCTTAAGTAGGTTTCAGAGTTCCCATGTTCACAGTTCTTTATTCTTTATTATAGAGCAGACCCTGAACATCTGTGTTCACCAGCTTCATCACAGTTTTAGTATTTTCTGTCTTAGACTTATTATCTGGTTCATCACATGCATCATTACATTCTCTACCACTTGATCTGCTTCAGCTCAATGTACCTCTTCAACAAGTTAATATGGGTACACCCTTTGATTCTTCCTGATGAGGTGCTCAACACATTGTTCACATGGCTAACTTTCCTTTTGAAACTGTTGGATCCATAAAAGCTAGCTTTCCACCCTCCACCAGGCAGAGGCAACAAGACTAACACCTTATCCCCTTGTTCAAAGCTGCTGGCCTTAGCTGTTCTGTCCACTTGTGGTTTCACCACCTGCTGAGGTGCCTAGAGATATTCTCTTGCTACTTAGAACTCTGCATCATAATGCAGGAGGGTAGTTTCCTCCTCCTGTGCCAAAAGAAACTCTCCTTAAGGAGGTTAAATAAGCCTCTAACTTCATACCCATGGACTAATTCAAAGGGACTTAAACCAGTAGACTGATTTGGCAAGCCCTAGTTGCAAATAAAATAAATATCTCCTTATCCCAGTCTCGGGGATGCTCAACAATAGGCCTTAATCATCATTAAGGTCTGGTGCTATCTCTCTAAACCACTGTGGGCCTGCGTGATAGGTAGATTTTTTGACCCACTTTATTTGTAATTTAACCATGACGTCCCGAAATACCCTTGCATGAAATTTGAGCTGTTATCAGACTTTGGAAACTCGCACCATAAAACGGTTGTCAATTGTTAGAAATACTCACCTGGTTCACCAATATCCATTAGGGAAGGAAACTGCCATCCTTACCTGGTTATGCCTACATGTGACTTCAGATGTGCAGCAATGTGGTTGACCCTTAGGGGTTGGGTAATAAATGCTGACCTAGCCAGAGATGTTCTCATCCTGTGAATAAATTAAGAAAAAGCTAGCAAAAGTTGCAGTGGCTGCTCATCTAAAACGTTTGCTGTGATGTTTCACAATGGAAAATGACTGGACAAATCCATGATGATTAAGAGACACCAGTAATCTGCTTTAATCTTAGGCAAGTTTCCAATTCAATCCAATAGATTCCAAATAAGTGGTTAAGTGAATATAGCTGTCAAAGGTTGTGAGTTTCCATCTTGCTGATAAATGCCTTGCAAATTTAACCACATCCTGTCACAGTGTAGGTCAATTTTAAAAAAAAAAACAAGTTTCCTAGCCTGAGCCTTCCACATGCAGTAATGGGTTTTCAAGAATCTGAAACTAATAAGGGTGATAACAGCTCAATGTATGACAGGCTAGTCCTCATCAGCTGGCCCCTTAGGAAATTAATGATTCTCAGTAAAATGTTGTTTGCAACATCACAACACTCCACCTTTGCTTCAAATCATACCATCTGAGAAAAGCTGCTTAAATCAGAGTCTGCCACTCGTTCTTCAATCGAGCAATATCTACGAAACAATTTAACATTGTTAGCCTTAAAGCAAGTAAGCAAATCATGTTTGACAAATTAGTTCTTTGAAGAACTAACAAGCAATGTGGATAAAGGGCAACTTGTAAATGTGCTGCACTTAAATTTCCAACAGACATTTGATAAGTTCAAAGGATATGCACAAAGTATTGAATTTATACTGTAAGCAGCAGCATTGGCATCGATAGAGAAACAATTAGCTTACAGGAAGCGGGCAATAGAGATAAATGGATCATATCGAGTTTACAAGTTGTAATTAATGGAATGCCACAGAGCTGAGGCCTCAACTATTTACAATCTATCAGTGACTTGGCTGAAGGAACTGGCTATATGGTAGGTATGTTTGCTGATGACACACAGATGAAGACAAGTTCTCAAGGGAACATAACAGTCAATAAAAAGATGTAGAGATAGTAGGAAC